TCCGTAGCTAAAGGAACATCACATCCAACTTAATTTATTACTTTCGCATGGTCGGTTTTTCAAAAACCTAATCTTCGTCCTGTCTATGTGTAGGCCAATCTTTATTCCCGCTTCCCTGAGTTCATTGATCACCGTCTCTATTCTTAGTACTTTGCGAAAAGATGACAATGTCTACCGCAAAGCGAAGGTTTGATAGAAATTTTCCGTTAAAGCATATGCCTTGCTCGTCCAAAATGAGCGGCTTCATCATCTAATATAGTGCAGCGTAAACAGTTTGAAGATATAGTGTCTCGCTATCGAACCCCTTTTTATAGGTATGGTGGAATTCATCTTACTATATGACCTATCCATCCGTATTTGACATAAACCGTATCTTTGTGATGCAGCTTCGACAGCAATCTGCTAACGTTCGTATAAAGGACGGCTCTACACCTTAGGTCGAAGGGCTATGATATGATTGCATTTGTTTCGACGCTGTCAAGCGCTTTCTCACACAGTAAAGGCTAGAACAAAAGCTGTACGATGTTCCTACAATCTTCAATGACCCGTGGACACAATTTGGATGTGATCCATGCAGCAGTTTCATTGAGGAATCCCGCTTGTTCAACTAGCTGTGTCTCATCCAAAATCGTTGATATGCGCAAAAGGGCGATCATCGTGAAGAGATTGTAGAATACACTCAAGAAGCAAATTAAATTGTGAACATCACTTTTCACCTGCCTGAGATAGAATGACCGGCGCAAAGTCCTCAACTGGTCTAAATACTTCTTTCTGAAAGAATGCTGTCGTATGTTTTACGAGAAGTACGTGTGGATTGTGACTATAAAATCGAAAGTAATGTTATCAATCCTGGAGTTGTGTCTCTCTTGGTGCTCACAATCACAACTCGAATTAAGAAGCTAGAACTCCAACTGATTTCTTGCCAGTGGGAATTTCAGGGTCCTAGACGGAAGTTGTGGATCAAAACTGGATATGGAACTTTTTTCTTTATGGATTTTATCTGATCCGACTTCACATGTCTTACGTTGAATAAATTGCAGTACTTCTGCCATTCAGTCCGTTTTTCGCCTTCTTCTGCTCTTCGGAACAGAAATTTCCATTTGTCATTCCATATCATAGTTGAACGAGGTGACAACTCTAATTCAATTCATTAAGGCGGAAGCGGAACAACATGATAGTTGAAGAGATCCCAATGCCATTTCCTCAACTAAATCTTTTTGAGCTAGTTCTAAGGCTTATCTGTATCTATCGTTGTAACTCCATTTGCGGAAATCTTCTACATCTGGCATTCATTACTAGCATAATGAGTTGTGTTACAGAAGGCTTCAAGCTTCAGTTTTGCTTCTTTTTCGAATATCTCCTTAGTTGAAGTAGAAATGCAATTGAAATTTTTTGTTTTGCAATCATTTTTGAGCCAAGCATGTCAGTGGTCTGCCAATAAGGGCTGACTTATAGAGTCCGATACACGTGTTTCAATCTTGCGATCTCGTCAGTCGGGCAGTTACCCTTTCTCGTCTTTTGCTAATCTCTGTGGGTGCTCCAGTCCCACACTAAAAGTTTGCGACGGCGAACGCTTTACACTCTATGTCCAGTGAAAAACTCACCAAACACAGAGTGTTGTACACTTGATTGCTCTTGGCTAGTATATTCGAAATATCAAGATCGAAACACGTGTATCGGGATCTATAAGTCAGCCCTCATTGACAGACCACTGACATGCGTGGCTCAAAAATGATTGCAAAGCATATTGAATTTTGAGCTGTGGTCTTAAGAAAACACTCGAATGTTATGAATAAAACGAATGTTATGATATAACAATTTTTGTTCGAGAACTGATGCTAGTTCGGCATAAGTATGAAGTCCATCGACGAGAACCACGTGGTCTTCGATTGATTTGCTTTAGTTCGGTGGTAGGGAGAAAATTATAATAGGAACATTGTTGTCGTGCACGACTTGTCATCTTTTTCTTGGGTAATTACAACACTTCTTTTCCAGTTATGGTTAAACAGAATTTCGCCCGTAATAGATGGAAATCAATTTTCGTACAAGTATCACTAAAAAGTCAAAGAGGGACCGTTCTCTATTGATAAGTATATGACTGATCTTCAGTAAGTCGTGCCGTTGGGAGGCTCCTATGTTTACGGGCGGCTATATATCTGAAACGCGCCACGGGTAGAAGTCCTATAGACGGTCTCCACTCCATTTCGCTTTTCCTCTTCGAAATTTTCTACCCTGTGTTCAGTTTCGCTGAGCACTATCACTCTGGCGTTAATATCTCTAATAACGCATTCACAGGACTATTCGTTGCGGATGACTTTGCCCAATTTGTTGCGAAATGCGTCAAATTAGCTATTATCGGCTGTACAAGTTGGTGCGTAGCAGTTGATGATACGCACTTTCTTTTGACGCGCAACTTCTAGGGGCAAAGATAGTCACTCCCAGTGATAGGACTCGTACGAAGTGACTATATGAGAGACCTAGAATGAACGCCAAGGTCGACTAACGGGAACTTTTCTTTACGATTAATGGGTGCGTCCTCCATTTGTGTCAGTTTTCTTGCTTTTCGTTTTCTGTAGAGCAATCACATGGATGAGTAAATAGCAGAAATAGTCTCTAGGCACATCGTAGATGTGCTTGCTTTGCGCTTTTCCAGTGACGACGTCACTAGAGACTCATTTATAAGTGTTTCAGGAATTTCAATAGACCCTTTCATTATTGTTTGAGCCAAGATGTCATGTCGTCTGGTAATGGACTTTTGCACAGCTCGATGCAAGTGTTTCGACCTTGCAGTCTCATCAGCCGTGCAGATAGTGTCGTATTTCAATCTTTTCTAGTCAGTTTTCACGGGAGTCCTACTCTCCCTACAGGGAAGTATCGAAGGGAACGCTATACATTGTAAATCAAGTGAAAAAAAAAGCACTGAATTTACAGTGTTGTACATTTGAGTTCACTTCGGCTGGTATTTTTATCATTATACCTTAGATTCGAGTGTTTTGTTGAGACCACGCTCAAGTTTTAATAGATCCTATCATTATTATTTGAGCCAACATATCATGTGGCTTGGTAATGTGCTCTTGTACAGCCCAACACAGAGCAATCGATGGTTAGAACACTGTAAATTTCGTAATATTTTCACTTGACTTACAGTGTAAAGCGTTGTCTTCGATACCCCTCTTTAGGGAGAGTAGGTGTTCAGAGAGAACTGACTATAAAAGACTCAAAGACGACGGGTTCTGCCCGACTGACGAGACTGTAAGATCGAAGCACGTGTATCGGGCTGTACAAGAGCCCATTACCACACCAGATGACATGTTGTTTCAGAAATGTCAACGAAATAGTTTGTTTTCACAGTGAGACTTTCCCAGTTTTTTGGTTAATAGTAAACTAGAGATTTGTGAAATTGTCTCATAAATAATCTTAGTTGAACAGGTGGATGTGGCATCTAACTTGCAAACTGGCACCATTTATTCCACTATGACATCATGTGGTATTTATCCTCTAATGAATAAATCACAGAGAGCTCACTAATGGACGTCGATTCCCAGCTGCCCGTCCTTCACTCCTGAAATTTGGATTTTATGTGATATGTGTGAGTTAATGTTACATGGAAATCGAAAAAACTTATTTTTATTAAGTGACGCGAGGTTGGTAAAGTGGTGGTAGTAGTAGTAATTCGGCTGACGTTTCGGCGACCCACCTTTATCAGAGCCTGGACCTATGTATTATTAGACTATAGCTTTGGTCTCTGAACTATAGAACTGTTGAAGAGCACACACAAATGAGAGCGAAATAACAAAAAACCAAGACGATGGGGGAACAATGGAAATACCTGACTCCAAAAACATAAACCTGCAAAGTGGTCTGTATCACTCTCTAGAGAGTAATGTGGTCATCATCCAAGCTCTTATTCTTTTTAACGACCTAGATGGGAGTCTGCACGTGAACTGACGTGACGTATAACATGATTTAGAATAGAAGAAACCCATAAAATGTTCAGTGGTCACATCATGCCAGTAGATGACCTTGATAAAGTTTTCCGTCTAGAATGAAAAAATTCATCGAAGTACTTTTTCTCCTAAACAAGAGAATTCGCTGTCAAAAAAGAATCCTTCAGCAAAAGCTGCAGCGACTTCAAATATTCACTGAAATCATCGTTGAAATTTTTTCACTTTTAATAGATTGGGGCAAAAGATCTAAGAAAATGATTGTAACCTTTTTGGGTGTCGCTCATTTTTTGTGTCTTTGGGCTCATTTGAAATTCCGTCATTCCCGCGTTGAGTGGTGTAAAATTTATCTACTTATGGAGTTGACATGCTAGCAAAGCAGGGTGTTAATGATGCACGAAAGACTGTTGGGTTTCTGGTTCAAGCAACGGTGGCAAGTAAACGCATCAATCTGGTCTGGGGCGAAGACACAGTTGGCAAAAGTGCGGTGTTTAGTAGTAAGGTAAAAGTGGTAAAAGTATAAAAGTGATAGGAGTTGTCTTTCTGTTAGTTTTGTCTTTGTTCGGGTGTAATAGGTGCATAAATAAATGTTTTACAAGCATTCTCTCGTAACTTTTTCCCCAACCTATTATGTACTATGGTAAAAAGGGATAGATTTTGGAAATTTTTTATATCCATTTATAATGCCTCAATAGATTACGTTAGTACAGTTTCTTTTTATTTGACCGCCTTATGCGGTGGTATAATGTTATAGATATACGCAGTGATGTAGGTGATGTGCAAAACCTTTGAGTGAGCCGAGACTCGAACTCACATCTCGCTCTATCCGAGAGATCGTATGGAATGACTAACAATTTAGTGATAGTGATCAGATTTGACGTGACAAGATATTTTCGCGAAATCATCACACTACTTTTTGGTTTACAGATTCGGGCAAAGTTCAAAGAAAACTTGAAGAACTGGAAAAACATCTGGAATACGTCCTTTTAATAGCATGAATGCACAAAGAAATGTACATATTGTCGCAAATGGGAATTGAGTGACAAGCAAAGATATGGCCTCAGCTGGGAATCGATCTCTCTTTTCATCCTATCCGGGGACGCGTGCTCTACCACTACACCACCGAGGCACATTTGCGCATCACTCATTCTTCAACATTTCTATGTTAGCTATCAGCCACCAACTTTTAACAGGTTTGTTGGGTATGCGATTTCGCTTCGTGAACCTGTGCCTCGGTGGTGTAGTGGTAGAGCACGCGTCCCCCTATAGGACGAAACGAGGGTTCGATTCCCGCCTGAGGCCATGTTTTTGCTCATCACTCAGTTCTTTTGAGTCTTTATGAAACATCATAACACTGCGAAAAAGTAGCAAATTCACTCGAATTCTTGAGTATTAGGTCACAAAACGTTTAGGACTAAAGCTCACAGTACTTCATTACATAGTTGAAGTTATAATTATTGATCAATAGATTTTAGGATAAGATCTTACGAAGACCGTCACAATTTTTTGAGCACATCTTTATCACTACTAGCATTCAACGCAAAGTTTTGCGAAACAAAGCGCTATTCCGAAAGCATGTCGCTTCGTCGCCGTAGCATGTCGTGACATTACACAACGTTTGGGCGGATGTTGGAGTCTTGAGTTTTTGGCGGTGACCTTGAATATAGAACTTTATACACTTTGCGATGTCAGAGCACAATTGTTACCGCGTTCGACAGGAATAGATTAGAACTTCACTGAAGCTGTGGACTTTGAAGATTTTGCGATTTATTAGATGATATGCTATTATTTTATTTTGGAAGTACTGCTTTTATCACGAAACAATCCAACAAGTTCCATTCTAAATTTTTATCAGGTTTCACAAGGTCTATTTTTGCCATTAAGTCTATCGGAAGAAGTTAATGAGAAGAAACTAAGAATAAGAAATAGGAATTGAGATTGTTTTACCCTTATGTATGTTGTGTGGACGAATAGTATGTTATCAATTTCCACAGTAGTATCAGCAAAGCTAACAAAACCTCATATGTTGTCTGTTCTAAGGAAAAAAATTCAAAAGAGCTAAATTTTTGTCTACAGGGTAGTGATGTCCTCATTTGACTGTATTCTCATCGAGGGTCGATTCAGTTTAGACGACACCATCGTGAATATGACAAAAATGTACTGCACTTTATTCTCAGTTGTTGTTCGTCACAGAAGTAGTACAAGTGAATGAGTCTTGAATTAGGTAGTTACTTCCACTTTTTGTTACTAAAAATGAATGCGATCAGAATATCTTGTCGTTGGGAAAAATTTCTGTAAATTCGTAAACATACATGTAAAATATTGAGTGGCTTACGAAACATTCGACCCCAGCCGGGAGTTGGACCCGTGTTTAACCCCTGACCGAGGGAGCGTGCTAATAGTATTGTCAAAGATGCCCGCAATCAACCTTAAGTAATAAAGAATTCTATAAAATTAGTTCGACTTGTCGATCTCTACTTTGATTTCGTTTCTTAGGTCACTACTTGCACCTAGAGGTCCTCAGTGATTGAAGAAATATTCACCGTTTGATCGTTATAAAATATGGGAATTTTTTGCACGAGTCTCCTCATAGCATGCCTTTCAAACGATAACCCGAATATTTTCTGTGTATGGTCGGAGTTCCCCATATTAAAGGATTTTAAAGATGTCTGGGCATTTTCGACTTTTGCGGAGCCGGTTTATCTTATTTTATGGCCCACAATCATTCGTTCTTGCGGTTCAAGTCATCGTAATTGTAGTCGTCATCGAGTCGGCCCTTCGTGAGCACTGTTAGAATAATTTATTAGATGGATTGTTTAGAGTTTTGTAGTCTATTAATAGTCTATTAACCCAAATGTTGACATTCGACACAATGCATAATGTTTCACTGAGAAATTATTTGCAGCCGTGAATTAAGAAGCATGGAATTCTTTACAACCTCGTTTTGAACATACTATAATTACAAGTTAATGTAATTGCGGTGATATTTTCGGACGATTGTATTTATTAGCCTTCTCAAGGTTTTCTTGTAATTGCTACCTAGAACAGTATTTGTAGCCAGGTTTTGATCCTCCACAGGATTTTTTGTGTTGACCATATAATCAGCATTTGTAACTCGAAGCATCGAGTAGTCCTTTGAGTCACGTTTTTGGATTTTTTTTCCTAAGAATTTGATCAGTCTTGTTGAAATTCTCACTTGAACTTATTACTGACGAAATAAGCGCATGTTATTCAGATTTCTTTGTTAGGTAGCCCTTTCTCGCAGACGTTGTATTGAAAAACTCTTTACTATTGATCATACAAAAGTTTTCCACTGAGAAAGTAACAGTTCTTTCTTAACTCGTGCCAAATTCAACATACCATCCACTGAAGAAAGATGTAACCAGATCTCTTTTTTAAATCATTTCCAGAGATGTACGATGTTACAAGGACTGGATGTGGAGCAGTGGCTAGAAGTGCTCTGCGTCGCACACAAGGTCCATGGTTCGATCCCACGCTCAAGACTCACCAAGCCATCCATCTCTCCGGGGTAGCTGACTGGCACCGGATTGGTCGCAGACTTGTCTGAGAGGATAAGCAGCATTGATTCGATACACCGGGAGGTTACCGCGAGTCATTGGAATTGTCAGATACCCGTATTTCACCCTTTTACGGAAGCGCGTGTCAACCTTACACTGTCGACGCTCCTCTTCTGTCATCACTCTTTTGGCGACATAACGATTTATTAGGTGTACAAATATGACTCTGCCGCATGAAAGTCGTCATTTGCGAAGTCCTATAAAGCTATCATAGAACTATTTTCAAGAAATTGATGTATAGATAAATAACGCTCTTAACGTAATTTCAAGCAAAAAGTTCCTCATATCTTTATCTTTGCTATTACTACAGCAAAAAAAAAAGCGGCGGAGTAATATTTGTACACCCAATTTCAGCAACTAACCGTCGACGGTTTGACCTAGCTAGTCGATATTGGCACTGAACCTAGTTATGCCGATGGATATTGGATCTAAGTACAATCAACCAGAAAAGCTGTAACTGGAAAAGAGGTATGCCAGGAACTAAATTTTGGGCATGAGGTGTTTATTGGCTCTCGTGTAGCTCTCACTCTTCAGCATAAGTGGGAACATAAGAAGGAAAAAAATTCTTGCTGACATAAAAATATCTTCGATCGGAAATGATATTGACGATATTACAACTTTGGTAAATGAATTTGAAACAGTTTGTGAAGTTTCACGCTTTCAAATTAGGTTGCACTGTTGCTAAAGTGTTTCCTACTTACCATCAGTCTCCCACAAGTCCCCGAAACTGTTGTTTGCCGACTGCCAAAGAATGTGCACATTTTTCAATACGGGATGACCACCGACCCGATGGTCCGATTTCTTCAAGAAAAGACTAGAAGAAAGACATGATGCTCAATGATTTCCTAGAGCAAGATGGACCCACTGGGCCACTCTTGTACGCGATAGGGAAAAATGGAAGTGTTGCTGGCGTTCGCTCGAGTCACTCGACGATCAACGGGACGACAGGTGATACAAGTGATATATATATATATATATATATATATATATAATTTATGCTTGTATATAGGCACACATGTTCATATGTGATAATTTATATGCGTACATAAACAATGCACACGAACTATCATGCAGAATGACATGAGATAAAACCACTTATAGTTGCGTTAATTTAATTTTTAGCATTTGAACGAAAACGGGGCCTTTTAGAGACTTCCTCTTTTGTAGTAGTTTCTTTTGTTGTGAAGAAATTTCGCCTGGGCATCTTGTAGTAATCTATGGGTATAAAATGCAGATTTTAAAGCTTTTCAGCCCAACTCACAATGATTTGTCATTTGCTTATTTTTAGCGAACTTTTTTATCATGTAGAGCTAAAAGAACAAAATGAACAAATACAGTTTTCGAACAGTTAATTAAGAAAGTATTCAAATGGCGTCATTCACAATCAATGCATGCTGCAGTATTCAAATATCTTGAGCTACTGGTTGATCACAAGAGTACAATGAGACTTTGATGCGCCAAAATAAACTTTCTAAAAACGAGGCTCTTTTGAAAGCTATATTGACGCCAATCTAATGATAAAAGACTTAAGTTTATATTATTGAAATAAAACGACATTCTTTGTTTCATAACATCTTTATCATAGATCTCTCTCAGCGTTTCCCCAATTCTTCACAAACACTTCTCATCATTCAGGTGTTGAACTTTGTTTCTCAAAATTATGCGATCTTCTTCGCTCAACGACAGTCTGCCTAAGTATTCTAGAAAATAAAAAATGGACGAAAATCTGTATTACTTTGATGAGCGATTTGCACAGTTCTTATACACTGGTTTAAAGTAAAAAAAAATTTGTATAGGCAAAAAAGTAAAATGGTTCATATATTTAGGACTCGAAATCAAAAGTTTTCAGGTGACATCAAACCCGATAAAAAAGACCAAGAAATAAATCATTCTAAAGATATAAAGATAACGAGAAAAAATACAACGAAATGTGATTGCCAACCAGTAGAAAAAATATACATATAGTTACGAAGAGTAAAATGACTCATATGTTCAGAACTCGAAATCGTGATCTTTCGAATGATATCAAACACGATATGAAACCAGGAAATAAAAACTTTCAAAAATAACGAAAAAACAGCAATTACACGAAAGAATTTAGTTTCCAACTCAATATCACGTTCACTTGATGTTGTGACTGTGAATTTCTCACTTGGTAGTGCGACATAAAGTGTGAACTTTTCCGACAATAATTCGTTGCCATTCGAAAATTGCTTGACTAACTTTGTGTGCATCCAAGAGAATTAAAAGTCTAGGTGAAGAAACTGTGGGAGATATAAACTCGTGTAAATGTGAATAATTCTTGATGTGAAATTCTTTTTTGGTACCGTTCCATTAACGAGTTCCAAGAGACTAGTGACTTATGTTCGTCGCAAAAAAAAACTTATTGAAAGAAGAAGAACTAATCGCATTATGACAACGTTTATCAGAGCGGCGGTAATACCAATCTGAAAGGAGCCTCTTTGGTATTTTTCTTAGAGTTGTAAAAGTCATATATTTGTCGCCTCAAAAGCTCATTGATGATTAAATAGAACTCTTTTCATTTGGCCAC